TTTTTCTTCAGTGGAGGAGTGGCTTGAGAAGGAATGACCAAGAATTGTGGGGAGTAGGTGACTACTGTGAGCTGAGCTAGGTGGGTGGCCTACCTTTAACACTGCCATGTGCAGAGAGAATATGTAGAGACAGTAATCTGCTTTATCTATTAAGATAGTATCTAATGTTTTCAGAGGTCTGGTGCTTCAGCTTTGATGTAGGCTTTCAAGCTCCAGGAAGTCATAGCCTCTATCTCGAGGCTCAATCCCAGCTGGCGGCGCAAAGCATTGGCTCTTCCATCCTGTCTCAACCCAGCTCACATTAAAGAGCAGCAGGTAAAGGCTACCAGGGAAACACGCACGCCACCTTCAAAGACTATCACCAGCACCTCAGCTGGACCAATACACATTGCTTAAGGCCAATTGAAGGATAAACAGAAGTCCTAGGCAGCTCTGTACATAGCAATACAAGGAAATAGGGTCAGGCTCAGTCAAAATGGAGACAGTCCTCTTCTTTCAAGGAGAGCTGCTCAGGTGGTCCTCCGCAGAGATTTGTGTCTCTTTGGTTCACTGATACATCCCAAGTGCACTAGCATCTAGTAGGTGCTCAATTTTGTTGACTACATGCATATCGCTGAACCTGAGATTCTGAGTTTACCTACTACTTATGGGTGAATTTTATTTTTATTTTTATTTATTTATTTATTTATTTATTTATTTTTTGGCGGAACCAGGGATTGAACTCAGGCCCTTGTGCTTGCCAGGCAGGCGCTTATTCTACTGAGCCATCTCCCCAGCCCCAACCATCTCCCCGGCCCCTTATGGGTGAATTTTAATTACAAAAATAACATCTGTTTCCCAGCCTTCCCACCCACAGAGTGATGCTTTCTCATGGGAACACCCAGAGCAGCACTGACCCAGGCTGTCACCACCATAAGGAACAGCTGAAGGAAGGGCTGGGCAAGGTGTTAGGAGAAATACCACCAAGGCATCTCAAATGTAAACATTTAGAATCGGGTCCAGTTCTGCAGCGCCCAGGAGGTAGGGAGGGGAAGCTTGAGAACAGGAAGCGTGGGTGTGTTCCTCAGGTGGAGCCAGGTGGCCCTCCTCCGAAATGAGTCCTCTTGGAGCAGCTGCTCTGTTGCCGGGGCGCTGGACATCGTGATGGTAATGGTTCATCCACTTCCCTTGTTTCCTCCATCTCCTCCAAAAGATAAACAGTATACCTGACTGACAGATAACTCTACAAATTCATTTGCTAGGCTATTCATTTTGTGCATCTTGTTAGAGCAAAAGTAATCCTTAACACCATAGTGATTGGCTATTGTGAAATATTAGAGAAGCATGCAGGAGGACAAAAATGACAGCTCCTCCTGAAATTCATGTAGGTTGGACCTTGGGTCAGGGACTTCACTAAGAGTCATTGAAAGCATGTGACAGGGCCCACATGTAGTACACTCTGGATGTGAGGACCCAAACTTCCTCATTGCAGAACGCATTTAAGCAGGTTGACTAGATCCATAGGCATCCACTTACTGGAGACAGGTAGGGAGTGAGGCATGCACCCAATTCATTTCCTGATTGGAAACAGCATAGTCAGGCCAGCTCTTAAGGAGTCAGGCATCACGCAGAGGCCCTTAGAGCTCTGACAGCTCAGCCAGGGTGGACGCATCTGTTTCCTGAACAAGAGTCACTGCTGTGAAGGCTGAACAGGAGGTGAGGCTTGCAACAAGATACACTGAGGAGAAAAAGCGAAGAAGAAAGGTGGGTTCTGACCATCTGTATCCTCTGATGAGTAGGAAGACAAAGGAGGAGCTCCAACTAGGGGACACTGCCCATGAGGGGAGGGAAAGTAATGTTGGGGATGGAGATGTAAAGTGAGAAAGAAGCTGGACACGGGAAATGGAGGCAAGCATAGGAACAAAGGTCAGGAGGAGATGGTAGTTGAAGGAGAGGAGATAGAACAAAGGGCGAGGGCTCAACGGTACAAATGCTTACATGGCAAGCTCAAGGTCCTGAGTTCGAGTCCCAGTACAGAAAAGAAAGAGCCAGAGGCAATAGAGACAGAATGCCAAGAGACGGGATGAGGTCACAGTAGATGTGGACACATAGAGGAACACGAGCTGAGATATCAAGCGAGGAAGGCGGGGAGGGAGAACAGGGGGGCATGAGTAGCCACAATAAGAAGGTAGATGAAGGCAGTTTCTCAGCTGAACACATGTGCTCTCTGTCCCCAGCAACCGTATCCCTCCTTCCTGACTTCTGCCCCTAAAACAGATGATACGAGCCGAACCAAGTTACTTCTCCCTGCTGCTGCTCCTGCTGCTGGGACTGTGGGTGGCAGAGATCCCAGTCCACGCCAAGCCCAAAAACATGACCCCAGCTCAGTGGTTTGCAACTCAGCACGTGCAGCCCAAGCTTCAAGCCTGCAACGCGGCAATGGGCCATGTCAACAAGCACACAGGGACTGGGGAGATGGCTCAGTAGAATAAGCGCTTGCCTGACACGCTCAAGGGCCTGAGTTCAATCCCCAGTTCTGCCAAAAAAAAAAAAAAAAAAAAAAACGAAAAAAAAAAAAAAAAAAAAACAAGCACACAAAGCGCTGCAAACCCCTCAACACTCTCCTGCATACTACCTTCTCCAGTGTGGCTGCCACCTGCCAGACCCCCAGTCAAATGTGCAAGAACGGCCATAAAAACTGCCACCAGAGCCCAAAGCCTGTGTCCCTGAGCACATGTAAGCATATTTCAGGGAAGTACCCCAACTGCAACTACAGAGAGAAGCGCCTGAGCACAGATTACATAGTGGCCTGTGACCCTCCCCAGAAAAAGGACTCTGGGAAATTCCACCTGGTTCCTGTGCACTTGGACAGAGTCATTTAAGTTTTCTGCCTCGCTCCTTCTCCTGGCTTTTGCATCCGGGCTCCTTCCCCATCCAGAGCATACTCTTGCCCAGTTTCTTGAACCCTCCTTGTTTTTGCTCTAAGGAGAGGCAGACAGAGCTGCTGCTGCTAAGGCGGGCTGAGTGCTACAAAAAGACATTGTCCAGGCCAGGGAGATGGCTCAGTGGAATAAGTACTTCCCTGGCAAGCGCAAGGATCTGAGTTCAATCCCTGGTTCCGCCAAAAAAAAAAAAGATGTTGTCTTTCATACTTTTGTTGCTGCTTTCCCCCACTCGAAGCTTAACCCCAGGAGAAGCTCAGAACCTTGACTTCTTCCCAGGATGCTTTTATTTTCTTCATTTTTTATGTATTTGGTACAGAGTCTCACTATGCAGCTCAAACTCATAGTGATCCCCATGTTTTCAGCCTCCCCAGCACTGGGATTACAGGCGTGCGCTACCATGCCTGGACTCAGTCACTGGCTCAGCGCATCCCAGGGTCCGGGCCGGCTTGACATGTGGGACAGGAAGGGGGATCGAACCCCTGGTCCCTATGCTTGCCAAAGCAGGCACTTAAGTCATCCCCCCCCCCCAACCAGGGATGGAACTCAAGCCCTTGCGCTTGCTAGGGAAGTGCTTATTCTACTGAGCCATTTCCCCAGCCTTCCCTGGACACTTTCGAAGACCTCTTCCCTGCTACATGACAAGGGGAGGCAATAAATGGAGAAGACATGTGTAGGATGTACAGGCAGCCCTGATTCCCCATCCTAAAGTGGGAGTCTTCCCAGCCCTGATGTGGTGAGGTAACTTGTGTGGGAAGAGGTGGCCAGAAGGGAGGAAAAACAAAGAGATGCCACATCCTGTTTACATAGCGCACTGTGCTTTTTACACCCACCTGGGGGGGAGGGGGTCCATGAGACAGACTGGGCACAGTTGACTTCCTTTCCTTATGGATCTGGGCTTTGAGATTTCACAAAGCATAGTCAACTAAGGAGCCCTTCAGCAGAATCTGGACTTGAAAATGAGTGGCCTTAGTCTACCTACGGCACTGCTCTACTGGTCAGGCAAGAAAGAGAGCACAGCAGGGACAGAAGTAGGCAAGAGCTCATCCAGGAAGAAATACGCCCCGAGCTCATCAGAGCCTGTTACACCGTGTGGACTGCAAGGAAGGCCATTACCTCTCCAGCCAAGGGGCTTTTTATGAGGTGCCAGGGGAATCTTAATTCATCCCCTTCCCTTTCTAATTGCCCCTCCTTCTGGCAGGGCCCTGAATCTCCATCAGGATAGATCCCCTGGGCCGGGAGGCAGAGTGTAAGGGGAGGGCCGTAGGATCACATTTCCCTTGACCTTAAGGGACTTCCATGGCCCTGAGGCTGCTTGTCACAAACAGACTGGTGGAGCTGCCAGCAGCTTCCTTCCTAGAGATAAGGATCCCCTGCCTCAGTACTTCCCAGGCTGTCCACACGGCTGGGCGGTCTGCCCAGGCCTGAGGACCTGAGATGTGGAAATGCCCTCTTTCTGTCCCCTTCAGCTGAAGACAACACCTTTCCCTCTGGTGAGTAGTGCAGGAAAAGCTTTGGCTTTTTATCTACTGAATCTTGACAGCTCCTATTTTCTGCAGCCCTGACCTTCCCCAGCTCCTTCTCCCTTCCTTTATCTCAGGCCAAAAGGAATTGTACTGCGTCCCATGCACACCCTCCTTCCCACCCAGACCCACTGTTAGACCTTCCCGCACCTGGTGGAGTGCTACTGTATTTATCACTCCTAACCAGTCAGACGAGCTTTGGAGCCAGACAGAACTGGGTACAAATCCTGGCTCCATCGTTCCTCTCCATGACTTTGAACAAATTAATGGAACTTCCTGCAGGTTTATTACATAAAGTAAAGTGGGAATAATATTGCCTACTGAACAAGATTTCAGGAGACCTAGAAGAAGCCGCTCTGGTCAGAGATGAGTGTGGTGGCATGTGACTATAGTCCCAGCACTCTGGGAGGCTGAGGATCACAAATTCAAATCCATTTGAAACTCTCATCGCTATTTGTTTTTCAATAAAATTAATAAAATATTTCAAATCCAGCATGAGCAACCTAGTGACTTAATGAGATGACTCTTAAAGTTAAAAATAAAAAGGGCTAGGACCTTACAATTGGATTCAATTCCCAGAAAAAAAAAAAAAAAAGATGAAAAATAAGGCACTGCTGCTGCTGCTGCAGCTAGGTACTAGTGGGTGCCGGATCACAGCAACTAGAAGAGGTGGTAGGAGCTGCCTTGGACAAGAAGCAGGCCAGGACAATCAGCCGTACACAGCCCCTAGGGACCTTGTTCTGCTACAGTCATGCTCAGGAGTGGGCTACGGAACAACAGGAGGACAAGAGGCCCAAAATGACATGAGACCGGTGGCTTGAGGGGATAATGGGAGAAGGGGAGGGACAGGAGGGAAGGACGTGAATAGCTGGTACAGAATGGGAGGCAAGGCACAAGGCAGGTGTGAGCTGCTAGGCAGTGAGTGTAAACATCACTGTTTCCTGAAAACAACATTGTCATCAAGAGGTGGACTTCTAGGGTATGCAAAGGAATACAAAGTTTACTTTTCTTCCCTTTTTTTTTCTTTTTTTTTTTTTGGTGCCAGCTCAGCCTGCCCTGGGGCTGTGGTGCCAGGATCAAACCAAGGTCCCTGCACCCTTTGCAGGTGCTTTAGACCGCTGAGCTATCTCGCCAACTCCGGGGATACAAAGTTTTAACCAAAGCTGTCATTTAGTTTTGTATTTCGGCATTCACCATATTATACTTTTGACTTCCTATAAATAAAGGTGCATAGAAAAGAAGGTACTTGGGGACAGCTAAGTTTTTCTCCACTTTATTCTTTTTAAAAACACCCTGTACTTTATATTCCTTTTTACTTCAGTTCTGGGGATCTAATGCAGGGTCTGCCATATGTTAAACAGGTACTCTACCATTAAACTACAAACCCGGGGGCCTGCCCCTTAGCTCATTTATTTAAGTGGCTACTTAAACAAAGCAGTCAGGCTCAGGTTGCTGTGGTTCCATCCCCAGAACTCAAACCAGCCAAACCTGCCCTGAAGGCATTCTGAGCCAGCCCCCCCCCAAAAATCCTAAACTACAAACCCAGTTGCTCTTTGTTTTTTCATTTTAATTTTTTCATAGGTATTTTTGGCTTTGTTTTGTTGAGACAAAGTTAGGTTTTTCAGAGGCACAGTAAAGAGATAGGAAAGATACAAGAGGCCTTTCTTACTCTTTTTTTCATATATATATATATATATATTCCCCCCCCCCGGGGGGAAGGGTGTACAGGGGGTTCAGGGTCTCACTACTAGATCTGACTCGTAGCGATCTGCCTGTTTACAACCTCCCAAAAGCTGGGGTTACAGTGTGCGCCACCACATCGTCTCCCCTCCCCCCCTTTTTGACTCTGAAGATAGACAGAATCTGAGGAAGCCAGGAGAATCCTCCTACCTGAGACAATGGGAAGCCGAGATTTTGTGGACTTCTGCTGGGGGCAGATTTTGAGGGGCCGATTTTTGCCGATTTAGTGACCTAAGGAGCTGACTGGGGTCTCCTTTATGGCCCAGGAAAAGTGAAAGGAAATTGCATCCAGGACTGGGTTGGGAATAAGGAGGAAGTGGTCTCTGGGAAGATAAGCTGCTGCTTTTGGGCTTTAGCCATGTTAATGACCACCATAATAATTCAGCAATTTCTGCTTGACCATGTAGCCCAGGCTGGCCTTGAACTCACAGTAATCCTCCTGCCTCAGCCTCCTGAGTGCTGAGATTACAGATGTGTGCCGTCGGGATGTCCCAGACGATACCATCCAGCCTTACACAGATAGATTTAAAGAGAATCAACCTGGATCTAAGGAGCAGAAATCAAGGAAGTGTCCAGGCACCAGGTATAGTTCCAAGGTCACACCCTGTGATCTATTACCTTCAACTAAGCCCACTTTATCTCTGTCATCCCCCAATAATGCCACCAATTCATGACCTCATTAAGGAAACGGAAGTCTCTAGATGCCATGGCTGCACTGGGGATCATTATTTTTTTTTTTTTCTTTTTAATGTATTTGGTACAGGGTCTCACTACACAGCTTGGACTCATAGTGATCCTGCTGTTTTCAGCCTCCTCAGTGCTGGGATTACAGGCCTGCGCCACCAGACTTAGTCTCATGGGCCGGCTCAGTGCACCTGGGGGTGGAGCTGGCACTGGCATGTCATGCCAGGGATGGAAGCCAGTCCCTGCGCCTGCCTAAGCAGGTGCTTAGTGCCCTGAGCTGTCTCACTGGTCCTTGCACTGGGGATCAAACCCTCAATACATGAGTTTTTTTGGGTGCTTCCTATGTAAACTGTAACATAGATACCTACTTCCTAGCAGTGTTATATGGGTTAAATATGAAAAGACATATAAAGTGCTTGGTACCATAGCTGACACAGAGGGAAAATTTTAGATTTAACATTTTTAATTATTATTCTAATGTTGGCTGCTGAGTAGTCAAACCTGTGATGCGTGAAGCAGGCCTGACTTCCGTGGCAGAAGACAAAGGACAGACACCAATGAGGCCTCTTCACCCTCTTCTCCCAGAAAAGCTTCTAGGTAGGAGTAGATTGGGCATGGTGGGGCGTGCCTGTAATCCCAGGGATTGGGAGACTGAAAATAGGAGAATCTCTACAAGTCCAATCCTTGCAGTGAGACCCTATAGACCCTGTAGAGCCTGCACTAAATACATAAAAAAGAAAAAGAAAAAAACAATCTCCACCAGCCCCATGGTTCACAATCCTTACTCTTCTCCAATGGATTAATAACAACAAGAAGGCATCATGATCACTACTTTCCATGATCATTTACATGGAAAATTTACTGGTATCTAGAATTGAACTCAGGACTTTGTGCTTGCCAGGCAGGCATTTATGAAAATTAATTGAATGTACACATTCAAAACATAAACTGACCCTAGTATGAATTAGTACAAATTTCTACTTGGACCACTGG